CTCCTAACATTGATACATGAAATACATTATTGGATTCGATTAATTGGAGGTATGCTAGGCGATTAGTGCTAATGGTCCTACGCGTTTCAACAATCTCGTATGGACCAATGAACCTAGGGCTTAAGTTTACCCTTTCTAGGACTTAGCTTACCCTTTTGTCCAAACCTTAGGATCTTCTTCCATGGTGAAACCTTCAAAAATACTTTATCCCCAACTGAATACTCAATATCCCTTCTCTTTAAATCAGCATAGGACTTCTGTCGATCACTTGCTTCCTTCAGCCGTCTTCTGATGATTTCTGCTTTCTCTTCTGTGTCTCTCACCAAATCTGGACCCAAAATCTTCTTCTCACTAAGTTCTGTCCAACATACAGGTGTTCTGCATTTTCTACCATACAATGCTTCATAGGGTGCCATCTTGATGCTCGCTTGATAGCTGTTGTTGTAGTCAAACTCCATGAGAGATACATATTTGTCCCAACTGCCTTCAAATTCAATAACACATGCATGTCTTCCAGGATTTGAATCACTCTCTCTGATTGCCCATCTGTTTGCGGATGAAATGCAGTGCTGAAATGCAGTTTCGTTCCTAATGCCTCCTGCAGTTTACCCCAGAACTTCGATGTAAACCTTGGATCACGATCAGAGATAATGGATGATGGAACTCCATGTAGTCGAACTATCTCACGAAGATAAATTTCTGCTAACTTGTCCAGAGAATAGTCCGTCTTAACTGGTAGGAAATGAGCAGACTTGGAAATGAGCAGACTTGGTTATCTATCCACAATTACCCATACTGCATTCGTGCTTCCGCTGTGTCTGAGGTAAGCCCATAACGAAGTCCATCGTTGATCTTGAATTCCCATTTCCACCGTGTTGCACTGTTATTGGATGAAGTAACCCGCGATGCACGTTGATGTTTCTGCTTTTACTTGTTGACATGTTAAACATCTTGTTTACAACATCCTACGAGTCTCTCTTTATGCCCGACCACCAGTAGCCTTTTCTTCAAATCTTGATACATCTTCGTCGTTGGTGCTACCTGGATGCATTGTATATGGACTGTTATGAGCTTCATGCAGAATCTTTTGTCTGACCTCCCCTGTCTGTGGTACAACAATTCTATCTACATAAAACAAAACTCCATTGCTATCCAATCTAAATTTCCCACCATGATCTACCTGGACTTATTTAACCCATAGGGCTATTTGTGCATCTTTCTTCTGTGCTTCTGCAACTTCCTGAAGCCAAGATGGTTGTACTTGCATCTGTGCTAGGATAACTCCCTGCTGTTGCATCTCCAGGTTAATTCTCATTGCTCTCAAAGCAAATAATGATTTCCGGCTAAGGGCATCATCTACCACATTAGCTTTGCCTGGATGATAATTAATGACATAATCATAATTAGCCAGAATCTGCATCCACTTCCGTTGTCTTGAATTCAAATCTTTCTGTGTTGGTAAGTACTTTAAACTCTGATGATCTGTATAAATGTAACACTTTTCACCATACAGATAATGCCGCCATACTTTGACATACTTTGTTGAATGCCCTAGAACAATGGCTCCAGTTATCTAAATCATGGGGATTGGATAATTTCAACTCATGTGGTTTTCAATGTCTGGAGACATAGACAGCGTGACCACTTTCTTTATCTTGCATGAGCACACATTCCTTAACCCAGTATGAGAGGCATCACTGTAATCTCAAAGTCTTTACCTGACACTGGCTGAAGTTAACACTGGGTGCTTCAGTCAACTTTTCTTCTTCAAAGTGTCAAAAACATCTGCTGACATCTATTATCCCCAATGGAATACAACCTCTTTTCTTCAATAATCTTGTTAAAGTGATGCAATGGATGGAGAATCCCTTTTACAAACCTTCTGTAATAAACCGGCTAAACCCAGAAAAACTTCAACTTCTGTGACATTCCTGGGTGGTCTCCAATCAACAATAGCTTCAATCTTTCTTTAGATTCACTCTGACACCCTCTGATGACACCACATGTCCTAAGAAAGAAAACTTTTCTAGCAAAACTCACACTTACTGAGCTTAGCATACGCTGGTTTATCTCTCAATGTCATGAAGTACAATCCCGTAAATGCTTATTTCATGTCTGCCCTGGTCTCTGGAGTAGACCAAAATGTCATCTATTAAAACACCACCACAAACTGATTCCAGGTATGAATTGAAATACGCGGTTCATGAGATTCCATTGAAAACCGCTGGTGGCATTGCCTCGTTGAGACCGAATGGCATTACTAAAAATTCAAAGTGACCATATCGGGTCCATAGAATGAACAGGTCTTTAGCGATATTCTTCTTCCTTTATCCGCAACTGGTGGTATCCTGATCTGAGGTTCGATCTTAGTAGAAAACATACCTGCACCTTTTAACTGATCAAACAAATCATCGATTCGCGGCAATGGATACTTATTCTTGATTGTCAGCTTATTCAGCTGTCTATAATCAATGCACAGTCTGAATGATCCATCTTTCTTCTTGACGAATAACACTGGTGCTCCCCAAGGTGATACACTGGGTCTGATAAAGCCTTTACCAATAACTCCTGCAGCTAAATTTTTAACTCTTTTAACTCTGCTGGTGCCATTCTGTAAGGTGCAATAGATACTGGTGCTGCTCCAGGATAGACATCTATGGCAAACTCCACTTCCAACTCTACTTCCCCTCCTTGGTTGGTAACCCTGGTAACTCATCTGGAACACACATCTGGGATTAATCACATACTGTTTTTTGGACACACTGTTGGTATGTCTTCCACTTTCGACTTTTCTTTCTCTGCGTGTAATGCACATACCAAGTATGCTTCACAACCCTTCTGAATTAATCTCTTTGCTATTATGGCTGATATCACATTACTCAAAAAATCTCGCCGCTTCCCAACTACTGTAATCTCTTCCCCTGCTGGTGTATATAATGTCACCCTTTTCTTTGCACAATCAACTAGAGCATTATGCCTAGATAGCCAATCCATATCCAGAATAACATCACATTCTCTGAATGGCAACTCCATAAGATCTCCTGGAAACTCCTTTCAATGAATAACAATTGGACAGTCTTTGATTACTGTGTGAGTTGTTACTACATCTCCTAGTGGATTGGTAACCAACATACCTTGACCCACATGTGCAACCGCTAACCTTTTAACCCAGGGTTTAGGCACACTAATGTATGAATGAGATGAGCCAGGATCAATTAAAGTACAAACTCCATGATCACATAAAGAAAACTCACCAACTAAAAGAAAACTCACCAACTATGACATCTGGGGCTTCCTCATCTTCTCTGGCTCGTATGGCATAAACCCTGGCTGGACCCCTGGTCTCAGGCCTGTCCACAGTCTCTGACTGCTGTCTCTGCACTCCGGAGGTCTCGTCTCGACCTCGGCCTACTATGAACGGTGTAGGAACTCTTGCCCTTTTTGGACAATCCTTCTTCTGATGGTCTGAGGCTCCGCATGTCCAACATTTACCAGTCACCAACCAACAATCTCCACCATGTCGTTCTACCACAATGCTCACAAGGTGGATACGGATAACCGGCTGACTCTGCACCTCTACCGGTTAACCGGCTGACTCTGCACCTCTACCAGTGCCTCTACCAGAACCTCTGCCTGAACCTCGACTCCTACTGGTAGAACTAGCCACCACTGATGCTGCTGGCATATTAGTGCCCCTGACTAAGTCTTGACTAAACGGAGGCCTAGAACCAGATGAACTACTTGCACCTCTGAATTTCTTGCTCTCCGGCTGATGTATACTGGGTGCACTCTGAGTCTGATCTCTTCTCTGCTGAGACCGCTGGCGTCTAGAACGCTGATTAGCCTGAATTCGCTCTATCTCTTGAGCTGCCTCTACCAAGGCTGAAAATTCTCTGAATCTGACCACTTCCCATCTGAATCTTCATCATTCAAAGCCTTTTTGAAAACTTCTTACACCTTTACGGGTTCTGTAGGCCACTATCTGCTTACCATACCTGCTGAGTCTACTCTAAGCCGGGTAAATTCTCTTTCATATTCTGAAACGGACATTCTGTTCTGTCGCAGGTATAAGAACTCTTTCCTTCTCGCATCTAGGTAAGCCTCGGTGATAAACTTTTTCTTGAATTCATCCAAGAAAAATTGCCAAGTATGCTGCTCTGGTGGTACTCGCTGCTGAACAGTAGTCCACCATGTGTAGGCTTCATCTATGAGTAATGATGTAGCACAAATCAACTTATCCTCTGGTGAACACTGTAATTGTTCCAGGACTCTCGATGTCCCATCTAGCCAATACTCAGCTATTTCCGGATTTCATCTTTACTAGCTTTTAAAAATTCCTTTGCAACCATATTTTTCTAGGAGCTTCGCCAGTTGGGGGCTTTCTCTTCTCTTTCTACTATTACGGGTGCTTGCAGCATTCACTCCTGCAATTTTGCTTAAAAGTATCTGCAAGTTGCCTTTAAACAGCACCTCTTGACCTAGTGCTCTTGAAAGCCTCCACCCTCCCACTGTTTCTAACTTGACCTGGTGCTGCTGGAGCCTCACCTCCACTGCTCTGGAGGCGTGTGGACTCACTTTCACCTTCCTGAGAACATCCTCCTAAAATAATACAACAAACGCTTAGTTCATCAGATGGAGTTCATGGCATGTACATATACTGACTTATGCATTCAAGCCGGGGGGAATTAAACCTAGGCTCTGATACCAAAATTTGTAAACACCCCTTCCCGGGTCCACCCCGTTAACCCGAATGAACCGAGTCGAGTGCTTACAAAACTGGTTGACTGTATTGGTCTTGACATACTGAAAAATTACTGTGTATTGAATATAATAACATTGCTGGTACTGTTTCCAAAATAATTTGTACATTTATATATTTACAAAAACATTGATACAAGTTTTACAAAATGAAATGGGCCCAACTGGTGTGCCCTGACATGCCATAAAAAGAAAAAAATAAATGAGTTCTGCCCTGAAAGACCGAGTCTTCTACAAAGATTGAACTGCAAGCCAGTTGTACGCGGACTCTCTATGGACCAGTCTCAAAAAACCTGCGAGTATAAACAGGTAAATCGCTGAAAGCAAATAATGCTCAGGGATATCTCAACATTATCAAGTAACAATTAAATGCATACATGAGTACAAAGAAGCCAAGTAACAACCATGAAACCACATTAAGGTACAGATAATCACACATATCATCTTACCTTCATTTTTATCTGGAATGATCTTTCTTGTGTGTTATTATTACTGTATTGATTCGCTTAAAAGCATTTAGTTACAATATCTGATATGGTCCATAAGGTTATAGTGAACCGAAGTGATAAGATAAACTGTATTGAAGCTGGGGTAAAACTAGTATCTATAGGCCCCTAACCGGGATTCGCCCTATTGCCAATTATTGTCCGTTTTGGTGCCCCTAACCGCATTCGGCCCACCGCACGGTTTTAATCCCATATCCACTCAACGGCCTTGTAGCCGGAGTTCCCAAACTGTATGGGCGCCAGATCTGCTATTCTATGTCGCGGACATAGCCTTATCTACATGGTTTCTACCTAACCTCAATGGAGCTTACTGCATAACTACAATGTAATTCAATCAGCACATAATAGTGTCCACAACATTCAAACTCATTCATGTTGATTTGATTTCACATCATTTATGAATGCTTGTATGTTGTTTTATCCATGTCTTATTGTTTGTATTTTTGTGTAAAATGATTGGGATGCATGGCATGTTGACAAAAGAAATGGATTGACATAGCAAATGAAAGGCAAAAAGAGTGTCACAGCAACAAGTTCGCGACCGCGTATGTAAAGTCGCAGAGCGCCGACTTGTGCATCCTGGAGAGTCAGTGTGTTTCTGGGCTGAAGTCGCGGGACCGCGCAGGCACAAGTCGCGAGCGCGAGATGAAGTTCGCGGCGAGCGCGCTTGTGCTGATTCGGCGAGCGCGAGATACGCACACTGAGAGTCAGAGAGCTTTCTGGCCAAACTCGCGAACCGACGCTACCGCGCATTGAAAGTCGCTGAAGCGCGAGCTGTGCCATTGAGAGTCAGAGAGACTTTGGCCAAAAAGTCGCGACCCGCGCATTGAAAGTCGCCGAGCGCGAGCTTGTGCCATTTGGAGAGTCAGGGAGAGCTACCTGGGACTCAAAGTCCGAGCGGCAATGGAAATCGCCGAGCGCCGACTGCTTTCCAGTATGCGCGAAGCGCGCGACGTGATTCCAGGATTGTGCAGTCTGTTTCTTTTGGCCATAACTTCTCAATATTACAACTTCAAAAATTGAATGATTCAAAAGCCCATTTGTTAAAGCCTTAACACAGAAAGGAAACAAATAACTCTTCTATGACAATTCCTAATTCGCATCATTATATGGGTTCAAAATCCAAGATGAAGTTGCTGGTGACATTTCCAGCAAACTCTGTTTCCACTTTCATACATTCATCCCCTGTTTTTCACATCATTTCCAGTACCTTCCAACCCAACAACAAGCAATAATCATTCTCATTTGGGCAAACACCACACCTACAATTTTTCATGCAAAGAACATGGGAAATAACAAGAGATATCAAACCTTATTTTCAAAAAGCTGGGACTCTGTTTTAGCTTCTCTTTTCTGCTACTTTTGAACTTTCTTCTCCTATACACAAGAACTCTCATAACTCATCTCCAATATAACTCAATTAAAGAGTGAGTAACATATAACTTCAAGGAATTCTACTTACTTGGCGTGGACTTACTGCGTAACGTGCATGAGAAGTGCAAGGAAATGGAAGGGAAACGTAAGAAGAAAATGAAAAACGTGAAAATAGGAAAGTGAAAATGATAGAAAATGATAGGAACGGGTGGACTCTAGAAGCAATGACTTGGCTGTTGTAACATAATCTACTTGGTACCTCAAAGTTATACATAAGACACAACTTAATTACCCACACTGTATGTTTGGCTTGCAATTCGAAGGCCTAAACTTTTCATGGCAAATAAACTTTTTCATGCAAATAAGTCCACTTATCATCCATTCTACCCCAACCAGGTTTGGTTCAACCCGACTCAACTCAAGAGGATGTTACAGAACCCGCCACCGACGACCCTCCATTCACCAATAACCCACAACCTGATCCCACCCCTGAACCTACCTCACCCCACACCGATCCACCTTCTCTTCTTCCTGATTTACCTGTTTCCCCCGCCCAACATGATGCAGTTTCGCATGGGGTGAATGTTAATAAAAGATTTGAAGTTCAAAACTTTTCTTCCTGTTCTGGGGTTATGGTCGAAGGATGCAAAACCTTCCTCTCTACTTATTTGATCCAAGATCGACTCTTTTGAGCTAAAATGTTCTGGATGCTGGCCCTACTTAAACAATGAATTTTTTAGACATTGATCGGAAGGACATACGCCATTTTCTCAGTGGTTTCCCCGGAAGGTGTGAACCCCTCCCCCGAAGCATAGGCATATGATGCATATGATAAAGGATGGAAATGCACGTGAATGTATTAGTCGCCACCTTGTTTAATTATTTTCGGGTAAACTAGGGAAAAACCCTAAGTGACTCCAACTTTAATTAACCTAATTTTAATTATCCCAATGATAAGGCACAATCTACGAACCCGAGATGGATCCCGAGACTATTGTTCATGCTGATGAATAAGCCGATGAATGAGATGCTTTGCAAGGGAATGATGGATTAATGAAAATGTTTTAGTGATTTCGGACTTGCCGCTCGGGGTTAAAATCCGAACGTGGCCTACGTACTTCGTTTGAATGGAAAGATCAAAGTCAACGTAGTTCGATAGGCCTTTCTTTGGAAGGGCTTTGAAGGGGTATGGCTTAATGGCTCATGTAGTGTGTTATAGGCTTTGAAGGTGTATGCTTAATGCATGAGTGTGTATGCTTTGTGCATGAGTGTGTATGCTTTGTGCATGAGTGCGTATGCTTTGTGCATGAGTGCGTATGCTTTGTGCATAAGTGTGTATGCTTTGTGCATAAGTGCGTATGCTTTGTGCATTTTGTTTAGGTATTCTGCCAAAGATTGATTGATTTTTAGGCATGTTGCCAAAAATGTTGATTTTAATGGCTTTTAGCCAAAATGATTTTTGATTTAGGCAATTGTTGCCAAAAATGTTGATTTTAGGCGATTTTCGCCAAAATGGTTGATTTTAAGGCCTTTGGCCAAAATGAGTTGATTTGCGGAATTGTCGGCTAAAGTGGCGTTGATTTTTAAGGTGCCTTTGGCAAAATGATGTTGTTTTAGGCAATTAGTTGCCCAAAAATGTGCGATTAGGCTTTAATGCCATGTATTATCAATTAATCGGGGTTCGAGGCTTTAATCACAATTTATTGTCGAAACGGTGATTGATTTAAGCGCTTTAGCCACAATTATTGATTAATGGACTTAAGCCAGATTATTCGAAAAATAAGGCATTTGAACCGTGTAGTATATTTAATTAACTAGGGCTCTTTTAAGCCAATATTGCGGATTTTAAACTTTAATACCACGATTATGATTTAACGGCATTTAAGCTTAATCAAATTAATTTAAGGGCAGTTTATTTACCAAAAATAATGACGTGGATTTGCATTTATGCAATGTAGAAATTATTAAGAGTAGAGATAGGAAAAATGCATGAATGTGCTTTAAAATTAAATAGGCAGTGCTGAAATTAAATAGGCAGAGTTTCGTTTACATACCTGATTTAATCGGCGACCGCTTCTTAATTCCAGATTAAGCTCCTCGCTTGGGAAATATTAATCAATTTTAATTTATTTAATTTTAGTGGCCAAATATCACAACAATAATGTAATAAAAATTAAAATGCAAAAAGCGGTAAAGAAAAACGCAAGGAGCGTGGGAGGGAGAAAGATCGTCCGTCAACACAGACAGGGGTGTCAAAATAGGCTGAAAATGGTCTATTTATAGGCCATTTTCGGGTCCAGGGCGGCAGGTGCCGCCTGGCTCGGCGGCAGCTGCCGCCCAAGCCGCCCAAGAGGGCTGCGCGGCAGGGTTGCCGCCCGGATGTACGGAGGCGGCAGCTGCCGCCCTGTCGGTGAGGGCGGCAGCCCCCGCCCACCACTGGGGCGGAGGTTCCGCCTGGAGCGCCGGCAGCTGCCGCCCAGTCGGTGGGGCGGCAGGCCCCGCCCGGTCTGGGGCGGCACGGGTGTCGCCCAAAGCTGGGGCGGCAGGGCCGCCCAGGGGTGGGGCCAGGCCCCGGCCCGCGCGGCGGCGACAGGGGGCCCCCTCGTTAGCGGCTGGGCGGCACGCCTCCCCGCGCGTGGCGACAGGTCCCGCGCAGGCTGGGCGGAGGCCGGCGCGGCGCTGGGCGGCACGCCTCGCCCGGCGCGGGATGGCAACAGTGGGTCCCGCGCGCGCTAAGGGGCGGCACGCCTCGCCCGCAATGCAGAAAAGCAGTAAAGAATCGCAAAGAGCGTAGGGGAGAAGGAGCGTCCGCCAACATAGACTGAGCCTCTCAAAACGGAGTGCACGGGGCTGTATTTATAGGCAAAAATCGGGCTGAAGGGCGGCGGCTGCCCTGTCCGGCGGCCGGCTCCGCCGTGTCCGGCCGACGCCGCCGCCGAGGCTGCGGGTGCGCTGGATTTTCGTTCCGGAGGTTTTTCCGGGAGTTCTCGACCTCCAAAAAATATTCCGGGACCAGTTCCGTGATCCTCGTAATTTTCCGGACGTTTCAAGTACCATATTGGCATACGGATCCTCATAATTTTTCGGACGTTTCAAGTACCATATTGGCATACTTTCGGTGAACTTTCCGAATGGCCTCCAGTCCGGCCGGACTGTTTGCAGTCCGTGTAGAAAAGTCAAAGTTACTATAGAAATGTCAAATTTACTGTAGCAAGGTCAAAATTTGAGTATTCACAGCAATTGTAATGATGCTAAACAAAACATGAATTGGGTAAATGCCATGAATGATGAATTGGCTTCATTAGACCAGAATAATACTTGGATATTGACTGATTTGCCTCCTAATACTAAACCAGTTGGTTGTCAGTCGGTTTACAGGATCAAATATAATGCAGATGGCAGCGTTGATCGCTACAAGGCTAGACTTGTTGCCAAGGGATACAACCAGTTGCTTGGGTTGGATTATCTTCATACCTTTTCTCCGGTTGCCAAACTGGTTACTGTTCATGTTTTCTTAACTATTGCTGTCGCCAATTCTTGGAATGTTCAACAACTGGATATAAATAATGCCTACTTACATGGTTCTCTTGATGAAGATATATATATTGAAAAGATATTATATATTGGTTCTCTTGATGAAGATATATATATGCAGGTTCCTCCTGGTTATACCAAAGCTGCAGAGGGACAAGTTTGCAAGTTACAGAGATCTCTTTATGGGTTAAAGCAAGCTGGTAGACAGTGGAATAAAGAATTGACCACTTCCTTATTAAGCCAGGGATTCTAGCAGTCTTCGTTTCATCACTGTCTATTTACTAAAGGCCGTGATGCTTCTTTCATTGCTCTATTGGTTTATGTTGATGATTGCTTAATTGCTAGTCATTCTGTCCATTTAATTTCAGATTTGAAGTCTTACTTACATAAGAAGTTCACCATCAAAGATCTTGGTGATGTGAAGTATTTCTTGGGTATTGAAGTTGCACGGAAGCCCATGGTAATGTTATCTTGAAACTCAACATAATTATCTCTGAGACTATTCGGGACAACTGGGTCTTCAGGATGCAAAAATTGCGGCACAGCCCTTATATCCAAGGAACTGAAGCTTGGCTCGGATATGGGGCACCCATTTACAGGACCTGCGGGAAGTTATCGTCGTAACTTGTGTTGCCGCCCATTCATACTATTTGTCCATGAACAAAACGACCAAGATATCAGTTATGCTGTCAACAGCTCAGTTTAGTTTCTGCCGAATTTCCTTCACCAATCCCATCTAAAGCTGCACTACACCGATGGTCACAATTAACACTCCAAAAAACACGGCACAGATTTATAACAAAAAGAGAGCAATCTCATTTCTGCCGGCAGCGAAAATGATTTGAAATTAAGGATCTTTTTCTAATGCAGATTGGCGGCGTCATGTAGTATTCCAGATGATCCATTACTGGTTTTGTATTTTTATTGGGCACTTCATTAATTTCATCGGAAGGACAGAAGACCAAGAAACAGTCTACGGTTAGTCGGTCCTCGGCAGAATCTGAATATCGAGCAATGGCATCTACAGTATGTGAACTTCAGTGGTTAACTTCTCTTTTAACTGATTTTCACATCCATCTTGAACGACCGATTCCGCTTCATTGTGATAACAAGGCCGCCATTCATATTGCAGCCAATCCTGTTTTTCATGAGCGCACTAAGCACATTGATATCGACTATCATGTTGTTCGCTGTCAATTGCAAGCGGGACTGATAAGCACTCCCCATCTGCCATCACACATGCAGCTCGCCGACATGTTCACAAAACCTTACCCTCACATTCTTATTGCAATTTTGTCTCCAAGCTTGGGTTGGTTGATTTCTCCCCAACACCAGGGGGGTGTTTAAGGATATGTATCTTGTACCAACTTGTAAACAAATTTCCCTACAGAAGTAAACAAATTCCCTACAGAATAGGAATCTGAAAATCAAATCCCTTTAGAATAGGTTCACTATTATTGCTCTTCTGTATATATATGTAACCTATCTTAGATATTGCAGAGGAGAAGGAGTCTATTTTTCCACTCCTATTTCGTAATTATGCATTGTTTCTATTGGCTTCTTTAATCCTTTTCAAGGTTTCTCCTTATTGTCCACTTTGTGATGCAGAAATAGAAACTGATATTCATGTTTTTCTGTTTTGTCCTTTCTCCCAAGCTATGTGGACATCATCATCAGTTGGCATCATAAACTCCATTAATTCAATAATGGAGTGGTATCATAAACTTCATAATCAAAATTTGATAATCATAAATTTGTTTTAATCGTAATATGAATATTTTATTTCCAACTAAATCTTGACCTAGAATAGTGCTTAATCTGCTGGTTTCATAGGAAATGAAATAAATGACACAAAAATAATGGAACAGCTAACAGAAGATAGAGGTTACCAGCTTTCCATGAGTACTTTGTCTTGGATCATGACACAAATAGAGGCAAAAGAGACACCATCTTCATTCTTGGTCAAGAATTTGCAAACAGGAGCTAGACCGTAAAGCCTCTCAAATTTCTCATCAGGAAGCGTTCTTAAAGAACAAGTAAGAATAGAGTAGCTGGCCAGCAGGCGCAATATACGGTCCAAAACGAGCGGTGCATCTGGGTTCTTGGTAGGGAGCTGAGAAGCGATGTCATGTGGAGACAAGAACGCACCAGGACCTGCTTTAGCGATGATTTCAAGTAAATCGAGTTCAATGGCTGATTTTAGAACCATAGGTAGTGTTGAAGCACTCGCTAATTGCATAGCAAAGAGATTTGCTTCCTCATCGGATACCTGAGCTGGAGTCATCTGAGTTTCACCTGTTGAACCCATTTCCGATCTGATTTTCTTTAATTTTGTACCTGAATGGATTGTATAAATTAATGTACTTCAAAAAAAAAATAGTTGGATAAGGAAGGCGTAGGCCTTTGAGGTGTAGAGTCTTTGCATTAAAACGAGAAGGCCCCTACAAACTAACCACTGACTCAGTTTTTTTTATTTATTAAAAAAATATCCAACTTTGCACGTAATTTTAATTATATCATAAAATTAATTCTTTCCTTAATACATAAATTTCAATTTTAGTTACAATAGCAGTTTAATTTCAAATTATACCAAATTTAATAAATGAAATATTATTTTCATCACATCTATACTTTCTCTTATAGGCAAATTAATCGAAAACTCACCCTTGAAGATTAACATATTAATTTTTTTATTTTAATATTTATATAAATATAAATATTTATTTAGTTATAAGCAATGGTAGTTGTGGAAAAGAAGTTTGATTTAGGGGAAAAGATTAAATTAGAGTATTAAGCGATGAGTGTAATTTGACTCTCAGAAACAGTGTGGATCCTATAAAAATAATATTTAATTCATTAAATTTAATACAATTTGAAATTAGGGTACTATTGTAACTAAAATTGAAGTTCAAGATATTAGGAGAAGAAAGTTGAATTTATGGTACAATTAAATCCACCTATAAAGTTTGGAGTTCTTTTAATGATTTAGCCGAATATATAATTTAATTAAATCCTTGAAATTTGATAAAAAAAAAAAAATTATGACAGTCTAAACTTTAAAATTAATCTTGTGGCACTTGATTTTCACTTTTTGTAACAATCTCGCACTTTATATTAACAATAATAATTTTAAGATTTTTATTTTTTATCGGTGAATATTAATTTGATGAGATTAATACATGCTTTTCAGACAATAATTTTTATATTTTAATTATCAAATAAGTACTTAATTGACTTTTTTACAAATTAAACTGGCTAATGTGTTAAATAAAGGATTTAACCGGTCTAATTTGGATCAAAATAAACATTGAATTCGTCCTCAATATTTTTCAGAAAAATACATGTGTGAATTTATATATTGAGCTTATTATATACTATTGTTTTCATTTCATAAATATTGAGCTTATTATATACTATTGTTTTCATTTCATAATACATATTGCTCAATGGATTTTTTTTTTTTTGCGAATATTTTTTTTTTCATAATACATGTGTGAATTTATTATATACTATTGTTTTCATTTCATAATACATATTCCTCAATTTTTTTTTTTTCATTTCATTTCATACTATTCGTCCTCAATATATTACTCGTGTCCTAAACGAATATTTGGAATAAAACAGTAAAAGAAACAATTATATAACCCAGCAAAATAACATGAGACAGAAGCGGAGGACAAGCTTTTTTTTTTTTTTTTTAATTTTTTTTTTTAAGATAGAAGCTAATTAGCTTTTTTCCTCTGTATTTTGTAGAAGTAGCCACGTTCTTATGTATGCTATTAGTTGTTGATTCCACGCTTCGGTGGTCTAGTATATTATTCTAAAATTATATTATTTAAATGTAATTAACCTAAAAAATATATTTAACTAAAATTAAATAATTAAAATTTTTATTCATAATAATCTATATATTAGTTAAAAATAATTGGTAAATAAATTTTAATTAAAAATTTTAAATTCATAATAATCTATATATTAGTTAAAATAATTGTAAATAAATTTTAAAAATATATTCAAGTTCCAATCAAATTATAGAAAAATAAATAAAATTTTTAAAAAAAGAAAAATAGAGAAATGAAAGTAGAGAACATCTAAAATTTTATTTTTGTTATATTTTAGTTAAGTGATTATTATTATCAATTATTTTATAATTGAATGTATTTAAAATCTCAAAAAATATAATTAATTATTTGAAATTTTAAAAAAAATACACGATAAAAGAATAATTCTTGAAATATTTTTATTCAATGTTTTTATATAAATCTTAATTATAAAAATCTATATTTTTATTTATGTATTGTCTCATTACTATAATTAATAATTCTTTACTACTCACATGATGTTTAAGATTTAATATAATTAACATAACATAATTAATATAAAATAAAATAAATAAAAACATCAATTAAACTATTAAATATTTTAATAATATTTTTTGTTAATGTTTTAATAAAAGTTCAAATTAAATTGATTTGTTTCCATAATACTTTAAATTTGATTTTGATGTTTAAGAGAGTATTGATTAGGATTTAATTAATAGAATGTATTATAATCATATTTAAACACTATAACTATATTAGAGTTTTGAGTTAGAGATAAACTCATAAAAAAATGCAAATAATTTTTATTCATCAATTAAACTGTTAAATATTTAATAATATTTTTTTGTTAACATTTTAATAAAAATCCAAATTAAATTGATTTATTTTCATAATACTTTAAATTTAAATTTAATTTTTAAGAGAGTATTAATTAGGATTTAATTAATAGAATATATTAGAGTCATATTTAAACAATACAACTATATTAGAATTGAGAGAGATAAATTCATAAAAAAATGGAAATAATTTTTATTATTTAATTATCAAATATTAATAATTAATGATAGACATGCAACAAAAGTCATCTATAATTAGTTGTAAAGTGAATTTCTTTGAGTCTCACAACTCAAAATTGAAGTTTGAATTGGGTGAACTTTGTATCTGAAATTAAAAAGAAAATATAATTGATTAGGTGGAATTAGATGAATTAAAATAACTAACTAAACTAATAAATTGATGTACCTCCTTGAGCTTAAAGGATGATTTAGTTGACTTTTGAATGCAATATTTTAATTTTGCTGAATAAAAAATAATCATAATTAACAGTAACAAAAAAAAAAAAATCAAGTGAAAAAATATATACCATAAATTCAGGAAAGTGGCAGAAAAAACAGACAAAAAGAGAATTTTCCGTGGACAGTTAGGCACCACCATATCTTGGATTCTTGGTAAGTGTAACAACAAACTAATTATACCCACATTCCAAAAATTCTGAAATTTTACCTACAAATTCCGCAATTCAATCAAGACATAAAAATAATAATAAGAGGTCAATAAACGATCCTCCAAAACTTCAAATCAACAAAACAAAACACATGCATAATAAACTTGATTTGATTTAAAAAATTGACAAACTATACCTGCAAAAAAGTAGCTATGATCTCAATGGTAGCAGTTTTATTAATCCCAACTTCATAGCTCCCAACAATAAACTTCTCCTTATAGGAGAAACCATCCTCCGTGAAGTGCCCTGTCCTAGCCGCAAATGGGAGCCTCCAAAGAATCGTTAAAGAACAAATATAATAAAAAATACATACGAATAGATATAAAAACTAAAGAAACTAACCTCTATTCACAAAGTCCGGAAGAAATATACAATAATATTATTCAATTCAATTATATATAGTTAAATTTTAGGTTCAAAAATTTTAAAAGCAACATTTTTATTGAATTAGATTAGGTTTTAAAAGACAAGGTTTTAGTTGAATTACATTAGGTTTTAAAAGTTTTCAATTATCATTACTATAGAATAAATATTAAATTTAAAAAATAATTACGTTGGCCTGTGAACCCCTTCCCCAAATGTCATAAGCATATGAATGCATGTGACTAAGGACAGAAATGCACGTGAATGTATGAGTCGCCACCTTGTTTAATGTCATTTGAGTCGCCACCTTGGTTTATTGTTTAATTATTTTAGGGTAAACTAGGAAAAAACCCTGAATGACTTCAATTTTAATTAACCTAGTTACTAGATTAATTATCCCAATGTGTAAAGCATGGTATGCAAACCCGAGATGGATCCCGAGACTATGTCATGCTGATAAACTAACCGATGAATGAATGTTTTGCAAGGTAAATGAGGGATTAATGAAATGTTTGAGTGATTTTGGTGATTTCGACTTGCCGCCCGGGGTGAAATCCCGGACGTGCCTACGTACTTCCGTTTGAATGGAAAATCAAAGTCAACGTAGTTCGATAGGCCTCTTTTAGAGGGCTTTGAATTAATGCATCGAGGTGTGTATTGCTTTGTTGGCATGAGTGTGTATTGTGAAACCCCATCCCCCATAAACATCACTGGCATTATGAATGCATCGTGATAAGGATCAGAAATGCACGTGAATGTATGAGTCGCCACCTTGTTAATATTTTTAGGGTTAAACTTAGGAAAAAACCCTAGTGACTCCATTTTAATTAACCTTAGTTTACTAGATTAATTATCCCAATGTTTAAAGCACAGGTCTTGCGAACCCGAGATGGGATCCGGAGACTTATTTCATGCTTGATAAACTAACCGATGGATGAATTGCTTCTGCAAGGTGAATGATGTAATGGACCAAATGAATATTATTGTGATTTTGGACTTGCCGCCCGGGGTGAAATCCGAAGTTGGCCTACGTACTTCCGTTGTGAATGAAAGTCAAGTCAACGTAGTTTGATCAGGCCTTTTTTAGAGGCTTGAATGGTATTGCTTATGCATGGGTGTGTGTATGCTTTGGTGCATTCTTGTTTAGGCATTTTGCCAAAGATTGATTGATTTAGGCGTTTTTGCCAAAAGATTCATTTTTTTGAGGCTTTTAGCCAAACAGAGTTGATTTGGGCTTTTCTTGCCAAAATTTGGTGTTCGGGGCTTATTATTTGCCGAAAATGCATTTTTGTCGAAGATTGTCGCCAAATCGTTAATTTTAAGGCTCTGAGGCTCGAATTTTGATTGGTTTTAAGGCTTCGAGCCGAAAAAAAGTGTTGATTTTAAGCAAATTCGTTTGCTTTAAAATGGTAATTTAGGCGATTGTCGCCCAAAATGGTTGATCTTTGAGGCTTTTAGCCAAAATAGATGTGGACTTTAGGCCAGTGATTTAGGCAATTTGTTTGCCAAAACGATGTGACTGGGCGATTGTCGCCAAAGTAATTGATTTTAAGGCCTTTGGCCAAAAAGTGTTGATTTAAGCAATTCGTTTGCTAAAAATCGATTAGACCATAGGCAATTAGTTGCCAAAATTGATTGATTTTAAGTGTAGGCAATTTTGTTGCCAAAAAAACGTGATTAAATGAGGCCGTTAGCCACAATTATTGATTAATTGGACTTTTAGGCGAGATTGT